CAAAAAGCATACAGGAGGAGGACGCACACACACACACACACACACACACACACACTACCGTTGGTCTGTCACTACTCCAAAAAATAGGGGCTTATTCAACTGCATCTGCCCCTAGACCCCCCTAGTTGCAGTCTAAGGAATCCCAGAGAGTCCTGGTTCGCTATGGTTTTGGTACAGGGCTCGACCCCTGGACCTTATGGTGGTTACCTTACCGGTCATTTAATTTTTCTCGCATGTCCTCGGTAGTGGTGCATTTCACAGTTATGTCCCTCACTGCCGCCTCGCACACTTTTCCATTTGTAACCTTACTTATGGTACTGACTTATTCTCCGCAGCATACCCCTGAGACCACCAGCCTAGTTGTTACGCTGTTCCTCGGTGTATAACTCTGATTCCGAAATTATAGACATACCTATACCCATAATAGAGCGAGGCAATTCTTGTGGCGGTATATAACTCTGATCCCGAAATTATAGACATACCTATACCTGCAAATGATGATGCTCGTTCTTCAATTCGTTGGATCTTGTCCAAATTGACTGCAGCGATTCGTGATAATCGTTTCTGACAATTTTGACACATATATACCAATTGCACATATCTTTGCTGTAACATCGTGTGCTGTACTCGAGCGGGGAGACCTTTGGAATTACTGATTCAATGTCAAACCGCCCCAGTATCTAACGCACCAGGTATTTTTACGGCGGGTAATGCGGTAGCCAAGCGGGGGAAGGCCGGAGTTGATAAATCGGATCGGCGGCCCACTTTTCGTTTCGGGCCTTCGACACTGCCCTCGGCCGACATATGGGAAAGGTACTCTTGCTGGTGCTCGTGTCAGAGTGTCCCATTCCTCTTCGCAGCCAAGTCGGGGGTTGGGGTTGGTAAGATCACCAATCCCTTATATACCCATAATAGAGCGAGGCAATTCTTGTGGCGGTCCTTTCATTCAAAGAAGGATTCGTTGAGGACATCATCATACTCAGGTCAGTCTTTTTGGGCCAACGGATGCTCATATATTGCGAAAATTGCCATTGAGAAAGCGGGGGGTTTCGGACCGGATTTATGACTTCAACCCACCAGTACTTGGCCCAGCTATTGATGCCGAGCCAGGAAACGCGCTGCGCAGTGCGCGCCAAGTTTTGTCGAGCCACCGCCACCGCGTCGTTTCGGGGTTTTCTTCTGGCTGGTGCCTCCAGCCATTGTGGTCCGGTAGCCCGAAGCCCATCAGTCGCGGCGCGTTAACGGGAAACGCCCGCGGCCGCTGTATGGGCCAAGTACTGGTGGTTTACAGTTCGGTGTTCATGTTAAATCCCACGACACATCAGACCCCATTTCCAGCACGTGATTCTCCTCACCAGTAGCCTTTTTTTTTTTTTTTTTTTTAACGAAACAAACTTCTACCAGTAGCTTTTTCGGTTTTGTTGCAGAAAAAAAGGACAAGTACAAAAAAACAAAACAGACACTGGTCCAAACTGCAAAAGAGGGTGAAAAGTTGAATACCCAAAAAAAAGCGTATATATAAGTAAAAAAAAAAAAAAAAAAGAAGCGTATAATCATATACTATAATATAATGATATAATATATCCGTCACTCCAAAGTGTTACATGCTGAGAGCCTCCACACGGGCCCCTCACGGGACCCGAGGTTGGATAAGGGCCCCCAGGTCGCGTCACCGCAACCTGGAGGCCCTACG